ACATTTGGAGTAACCTATTCTGCAAATAGGCATAAACCCTTGGCTAATTAAAAAAAAAGAGGGAGACAAAGATCTCTTCTTTACTCATCTTTTCTAGCCTAACTCTTCAATATGTTCTTGTAGTTTTTGCAAATTTTAAAAAACATTGTTGTGTTAAATACTATTAGTCTGGACATAAGTTTCCATCATTCATCTTTTTACCTTCCAAGGTTTATCAAGAGGTATTTTTTCAGCAGTGTTTACTTAAAGAATTTTTATCTAAAGATTGAATATAAGATCTTATGTATGAAAAACATGTGTTCCACATTGGGTGACACAGTTCTCTATAGAAGTCATTGCTGCATCATTAAGAACCAAGAAGTTGAAGTAGATTGATATGGGATTTGTATAGTAGAATTCTCTTCCTGCTTTCCTGTTTATGATTTATTTCATTAACGTGAAGACAATATCAATATAAAAAAGCAATTTCAATAGCAACCTTTTAAGTTGTAATTATTATTACAGATTAATGACTGATTGTTTTATCCCTTTAACCTTGGTTTATCTGAAGAAAAACTTCAGGGAAATTAAAATTCAGGGAAATGTGAATAATTCATTGCATTCTGACATTTTCTCCGGGAGCTCAAAATCTCTCAATTCTATAAGAAATTTGAGAGAGAATAGGTGGCTCATAGTCATCCAATGAGTCCTATTTTTCTGTGAGGAGTTGAGCCTTCTTCTTTCTAATCCAGGACCAATACTTTAATAACTTTAGTACTTGATCAGTCGAGTATTTAAATGCCAAAAACATTTAATGTTTTAAGGAACAAAAAAAATTTGTATAGGGTACTTTTATCCTTGAATAATTGTATTCTTTTCTGCCTCCCAAATAAAACAGCAGAAAGCATGAAGATTACACTTTGAATTGACTGGATGCACAGAGGCACGGAATTTCTTAGTGACAGCTGTTGCTGTTTGAAAGATGAAAGTACTTGGCCCAAGAGTCTGTTTATGTGTTTGAGCAGAGAAAGCAATATTCATTTCAAGGAGCTCTGAGACAGACAGATTCTGAGAAAGAGAACGCAAGGGATAATTATCTAAATTATGTTCAGGCTATTATTGAAGACGAATATAGTTAAAATGTAATTAAATATGACGGGCTCACAGGATGCAAGCATGACTTTGGAATGCTAATCAACAATTATAGCTCTCCTTGGGGGACTCAAGCAGAACAAGAGAGTTGGGAGGGATGGCTGAGGTGAAATATGGAGTATTAAATAACATACCCTAGGGCTGCCACAAGGCTAATTTCTTTTAAAAGATGAAGCTGTGGCACTGGGGGACTTGTGCTGGTTGTGCATCATGTAGTCTTACCTTTCAGGTTGAGGACCCTCATATCAGCATAGGCTCTTGATTGCTGGTCTTGCCGACAAAGTGTAAGCCTCAAATGAAAGTATTGATTTCCCTAATTATAAACTTTTGATTTTTATAAGTATGTCTTTTGAAGGTTCACAAATCCTAGCAGATATATATTTTTGATCTTTTCGATAACATCATCATTTCTATTTTCTCTTTATTATTTGTGGTAGAAAAAATAGTCTTATCACCCATTGCTGTTTTACTAAACCTACTACACTAGTTGTTTACTTGTTAATGGCTATCCCTGGAAAAAAGTAGCACAGAGAATTATTGACACGAAGGGATATTGAGTTTTATAGTGCATAAAAACTGCATAATGGTCTCTGTCCATTTATAAATAAACTCAATTCAATCTTACAGTTCAGTTTGTAAATGAAAAGGTTTCATGGGCACAGTGAGCATGCATTTAATACATCTTCTCATTCTGTGTTTCTAGCACGTAGCTATTAATATCTTATATACCCTAAATTCATTTTTGTTTTTACATAGACACTGGAAAGACTCTAATTCACAACACCAGGAATTAGAAATCTCTCATTTATTTTTAGTAGTTCAGGTGCTACCTTGAATATTTTACATGCCACCTTGAAAGATAGAATTGTATCTCTTCAGGTTTATTTAAATAGTTTTTTCTTAAATAATCCATGGATGAATACATTTTCCTTCTTACTGCATAAACATTTCTAATTCTGCTAATTTTATGTCAGTATTTCCCCTAGAAAATTGCATTTAGACATATTGGAAATAAAAAAAACTTGCTCAGATTTAACTAATTGACCCAAAGATAAACAATTAAAATATTAATCCCTCACTGTTGAATTTGTAATAATCTAGATTATATAAACTTGATAACCTGTAGTTAAGAGCTAATCTTCAGGAGTTGTTTGACTGAAAATTGTCTTTTATCCTAAATTAATTATGTCCCACACAGCTTTCTTAGTTAGACTGTATATGGCTCTTACTACCTACGAGAGATAGAAAAGGCTCAGTTAGAATTTAGATAAGCTTCTGTGTCCCTCTGAGTGTTTTTTATGAGAAGTACATCTTTGAACTTTGGCATTTTAGGAGCCGTAATTCTTGTGGTATCCAATTAGATGGGCATAATGCCAACGGCTGTATATGCAGTTTTCTTGTGCAAATTGATTCTGTTCTACTGTACTCTAGTATTTGCTAAGGCACTTTATCTTCTCTTTAATCTTCAAAATGATATTATAGGTTTCTAAAAGAGCATAACTCTCTTCTTGTTTACAAATATCTACATAAGTCGTTCCCCTCCTTTGTTTTTGTTTTTGTTTTTTTGTTTTTTTTTGTAATAAGCACAGATTTCAATTAAAGAGAAATAGTTTTGTAGTAGATGGCATATCAAAAAGCCTGGTTTTTAAAAATTGGGCTCTGGCTATAGCTGATTTTGTAGTTTCTTATGCAAAGAAAAAAATCAGAGACCAAAAAACAATGATAATGCAAGCCAGTTTGGTAACACATCTGGACATCAGGCTAGAAACAGAGAGATTATGAGTTCTAGTCCCAGTTTAACCAGATTTGAGACCTTGGGTCAGTCATTTTCTCTCACCTCTGGGATGCAAGCAATGGCAAACCTTTTCTGAAAAGCTTCCAAAGAAAACTGCAAGTAGTAGACCAGCAGTCAGCAGGAATCAATGCTGACTTAAGGCACCAGAAAAAATGTGGCATATTCAGGAAATTGAAATTAATTTATTCATATATTAGAGTAGATGTATTCAAATCAGTGTGACATCACTAATTTACATGTTTGCTCTGTGCATGACAGCATCCAATGTCCCTGAGCCTTTTCTATCCAACTAGATGCTTTTCTAGCAAGTCTGCTAAAATAAACCAACACTAGCAAAGTTATGTTAGAACTAATCTAGATGGCATTAGAAAGGTACAACTGTTACTGGACTGTATTCATGTGATTTTTGCATAGAGGAGAGCAATTAAGGGGGGGCTTATTAAGATATTAAATTTCTCCCTGGTGACGTTGATGTCCTGAATTTATAAAAGTGGAATTATTTTTCTGTTTCATTATAGTTCTGAAACCCAATGAAATTAAAAGAATAAGTATATGAAAATGTCATAAAAAGTTTACCTAGATCAGATCAACTCTTTCTTACAGCTATTTGCTATATTGTACAATATTCCAGCTCAAGTCTTGACTATAACTGTAACGAACAGCGTTGCAGTTCTTTCTGTGTTTTTCTTTCCTTTTGCTTTTTAGTAGAATGTAAGTATTTTTAATACAATGCTATCCAAATGATAACCTCCTTCAAAAGTTCATCAACTTGCTTTAGCTGCCTTATTATCATTTCTTTAATTATGTTAGGCTCTATTATGCATAAAGTTTGTAATGTTATCTTCAAATTGATTTCAGGAGAAAAGATAATCTGATTATATATTAATCCAATGTAATGATATCTACTGTTTATAAGGAAATATTCAAATCTTCTTTCCCTTTCCTTCTTGAGAAAAGAAAGACGTGCCAAAATTATATTTGGGTAAAGGCATGGTCATGAGCCTTTTCGAGCACCATAAAAGAAAATAACATTGTGTTAGACTGCAACAATTTAAAAATCATTATGTTAGGTCCTTGAGGTACTGCAGGTTCCACATTGCTGATTCCTTCAATATGAGTAATTATATCCTTTTGGTTAATAAAATTCCCATATTATGCTAAACAGTAAACACAGTTGGTTTCGATTTAATGTGATGCACAAACCCAGTTGTAGTTTGGTGTGGAGAACACACAGAATTGTAATTTAAGCTAAGAAAAATCACAGTTCTTTTCTAAAATAGCAGAAGAGGAGGAATCTGGAAAGTCCTAGCTTTGAGGCCCACAGGAATAACATAACCCCACCTTTTGTCATAATTATCATTTCTGTTTGAAACCTTAGGTTTTAAAAAGCTAGGTTCTTTTTTTAATACTACATAACATAGATTCTGCTTATTATTGATCCATATTTATCTCCAGAATAACTAGACTCAGTTGAAGAAATCTGATTTCTTCCATTTATAACAGTTACAAGAAAAGGTACTTCTATGTGGAATAAGAACATTTGTACTTCCTACCTCTTCAGAGCATTAGAACCATAGAAATTCTTGTTCTTCTTTCATTGAGTTATTCCTTTATTTTGTTTAAAAGTAAAACTAGCACCAACAGAATGTGGTGACTGTCAGCATTTCAGTTGCTTCCACTTGTGAAACCTGACATTAGATAAAGACCAATGCCATATGCTTGAAGTGATTCAGTTTTGCTTAAATGTTTCACTACTTCTTTTACATTGTTCTCATATTTTTTCCCCAAAAATACAGTAGACTAATATACACTTACCTGAGCACAAGTGCATTGCTCTTTCAAATTTTGTGTTCTATACTTCTGACTTGAGTTGATCTGCTTTTCTGCTTTTATTTATTATATAGCTGTTTGTCTTCCTGAGAAAGGTAATGCTAACATTGAACAGATAAAAATAAGTGTGCAAAGTAATGCAAGAATATGTTGGATTACTATAGAAAAAATTATTTAACTTTTATTAAAAAAAACAAGTGTGCAATTATTTTAATTTTCTGTATCCCTTTTATTTCTTGTGCAGATCCTGGCAACTTGTAAGTTTTGATAGACAACCAGCATCTTTTATCAGAATTGTTGGCACTCACAACACAGCTAATGAGGTAATGTAATAGATTAAATTCTGTGGCATGCTGAACACTGAGTTATAAAACATGTCACCCAATTATCCTTACTCAAGATTATACAAGTATTAACTTTTTTCTGTTTAAAGAATCTAGTGAAGAGGAAAAATACTTCTTTTAATGTAAAGATACAGAATGCATTGGGGATTGAAAATGTTTCCTGCAAGTGTATGGATATATACAAAATCATTGAATGTATATACATATACATAACACTACTTAAAGTTATTGAAAAAAGCTTAAAAAGCCAAGAAGCACTGGTTTAGAGATGGATTGTTGGGGATAAAATTTGTCTATGTGGTTTCTGAGAGCATTGACATGAAATATCGCAAAAGTGATGCATCACCTGTGTAATTTGAATTTGAATATTTGCAAATCGAGTATAGAAAATCTCTAGGAGAAATAATTTACTATTAAAGTTACAGTGAATTGATCATCTATCTAGTGATAATCTAATTTAATAGGAAACAACCTATTCTCTTTATTTTAAATGTTGCCAAGGATTCCATTCATCTTCCCAGGATCGAGTCAGAAAGATGAAAGGATCTGAATATGAGTAACTGTAATTGGGTGACCACAGCAGATCAGAGATTTTGTTGGCATATCAAGTGTTTGCAGACAGAAAAGCTGCAATGGCTGAAATTATTTTGGGAGTTCTTCAGAGCTTGAAAATTAGATTTTGTTTTTCTTTTGCCTGCTGCCACAAGCATACTAGGATATCTGGAGCTATCCTAGCTGCACTAGAACATTTGCAGGTGATATTTATGTCCTCTTTGTGAAGGGCTTAAAAGGGGGCAGGTTTGGCAGGCAGATTGAGGTGGGGGTGGGAGCTGCTTTCTTGATATGCTAGAGAATATTGTCTACCAAGAAAACAAGATAATTGAAGATGCTGAAAGAAAGAATAAAGTGGAGCAGAAGAAGATATCAGAACTAGGAAGTTCTGAACACAGAACAAATGGTGTAAAATGACCTCAAGCAGTTTCCAACCCCTGAAAGAGAGAAGAAAAGTTGGGCAAATGAACAGAACAATAGGACAGCTGGGATGCTATGAAAAGGAGTTGTGGAGCAGGAGTGCTGAAGATGGTGGTCCAGGTGTTGACTTTTCATAGAGTGATTTAGAGGGGAATATAGTTCAGAATAATAAGTAAACCTGGAACTATTTTCCCCCTCCTGTCCATTTTTAATATAACAAAGCAGAATAATTAGTGAAATGATTAAGAACAGAAATAATCTAAATGGATAAATTGAAAAACTTAGCTGTTTATTTATTTAGACATCGGTAGAAGGGGGGAGTTAAATGACTAATAATAAAATAGAATTAAAAGTAACATCTGTAAAATTACTTGAGGATATTATTAGAAAATGTATTTGCACATAAGTGGAAGGAGATAACATTTTATTCTAAAGACACAAATTGTTCAGTGTAACAATTATGCATTGTCCAGGTCTCTTGGTGTCCCTACCCAGCAATGAGGAGTTGGTATTGGATTTGGGACTGAGATTCCTCCAGGCTGCCATTGCTTGGTGATTTCAACATCCATGCCAAAACCAGTCGTGTAGAATTGTATCAGGATTCTGTGGCCATTTTAATTAATTAATATTTTATTCTACATTGATTGTTCAAGGTGATGAACATACATAATATTCTTCATCCTCCTATTTTCCCCACAACAACCATCTGTGAGGTAGGCTGGGTTGAGAGAGAGAGTGATTGGTCCAAGGTCATCCAGTCATTTTTTCATGTCCAAAGTGGGACTAGAACTCACATCTCCTGGTTTCTAGCCTTGTGCCTTAACCATTAATTGGTTCTCAATCTCATGACCATCATGAGTTCATTAGTCCTGTCAAAATGTGTACATACATACACAGACACCCAAATAGCATATATGCTAGATTTAGTTTTTTATAATGAGTTGATTATACCATACCATGAGGAATCCAAATTTTGAATGCATTCTATAAGTTAACTCCTTTAGGTACCTTGGTTGGGGGAAAAAATGTCCAAGTGCACTATTTCGCTCAGTTAAAAGTTACAGGAAAGAGAGCTTTAGTAGTACACATATTGTTGTATCCTAAACCAGGGGTCCCCAACCCTCGGGCTGTGGCCTGTTCGAAACTTGGCTTCAGGAAAGATGGGCAAGTATGCACACATGAAGTCTCATTCATGTGAGTGAAGGACGCTCACATGTGAAGCTCCATTTGCATGAATGGAGCTTTGCACACGAGCACCCACTGCTCAGGTGCCCTCTGCTCACGCAAATGGAGCTTTGCACATAAGCGCAAGCACCTACTCAAACGTGGAGCTCAATTCGCACAAGTAGACGGCGCATGTATGTGTGTCTACCACTCACATGCCCCCCTGCCATACTGGGCTGGGAGGCTAAGCTGGAAAGTTGGGTACTGCAGTCCTAAACCATCATAAGCTGGCTTTTGGGGAGTATGCAGGTATATGTTTGATAAGAAATGTATATAAAAATGCCTGTACAAAAAAATAAATCAAAACGGTAAATATTTGGTAAGAAAATATATAAAGATTCAAAAGAAACTCATCTATCTGAAATGGATAACTTGATTCCTTCTTACTTGCTGATGTTTCAGATAAATCTTTTAAGCAATTATTTTACAAGCCTTTTTTTAGCAGTGAATTGATTGTGTGGTTGCCCTGTTATGCTAAATTAACTTTATAATCTTGCACATGATTTTTTTTGTTTCAATCAAAAACAGACTTGTGTTTTACTAAAAAGAAAGGTATTCTTTGCCCAATAGAAAGTTAAAAATGAATATAAGCATTTAAGATCCCAAAGAGATATATGCCCTGAGGAATGTTTGACAATATATTTTGAAAGCAACAGTTCAACCCTGAGCTACAAATATTCTTCCCTATCTTTGGTTTCAAGCTACATATTTATTCTCAGAAGACAACTTAACTATAGATAAAACACAGATACAGATGTTTTTCCAGATGAAATCCTAGGCTGTTTTGGGGGAAGTGTATTCTGTAGGACATTCCCTGTCTTCTATTCAGTTTTTATTGTATTTGGTAGTAGAAGATCTTAGAAGTGCTTGTTCATTGTGCTACTGGAATCTGTATGCTTTTGTATATTTAATTTTTGCATATTTTATTATTTTTTAAGCTAATTGGAGCATTCTATTTCCAAGATTGCATCCTTTTGATTAAAATAAGAGCACAGAGATTTTCAGCTTATTATCTAGGCAAGATGTGAATTATACTGAAAAATAATTGAGGAATGCCATGTTTTTTGCTATCATTTTTTCACTTATATAACTTCAGACACCAAGAACTCTATAGACCCCCGTATGATTCAAATAAAAAAGTGAAACTGAAATAAAACTATATGCTCAAGTGTCTGAAGAGCAAGAGTATATATATATAGGATTAATATGCACATCATTTTAATATTTTAGGAAATTTAAATTTAATTGATACATTATACCAATTCAGTGTTATTCGTATTTGAAAAATACAACTCAGTTATAAAGATGGTTACTTAATCCCTTGAAAAACCTTGATCAGATCATTCTAAAAATCACAAATCTATTATATAAGACCAGTTGGAAGCCAGTTTCTTTGGTCCTTCGTTTGATCTTTGTATTCTCTGTGCAATTGGACTTATTGTACATAAGCTTCTTGGTATATCCTAAAGGTGCATTTTTAAGAGGCAACCTCCTTGTTTTTCTGTGAAGACGTTTCACTTCTCATCCAAGAAGCTTCTTCAGTTCTGACTGGATAGTGGAGAATGGAAGGATTTAAACTGCTTGCAGACAGCTGGTCATTGACAGCTGAAGTGGCCTTAACAACTCTCTAAAATAATGCAAATGATCTACAAGTAGAATAAATGGTCTACAAGTAGAATAAATCCTTCCATTCTCCACCATCCAGTTGGAGCTGAAGAAGCTTCTTGGGTGAGAAGCAAAACATCTTCAAAGAAAAACAAGAAAGTCCGGTTGCCTCTTGAAAAAGCACCTCTGGGTCAACTATGACCTGGATGACTGAGAATCTCCATAGACTTCTTGATATTTATGAATTGACTTTATAGTTTCAGTGAAGTAGTGCTAGTTGTTAGCTATTAACAAATTTCTGTTTCTTCATATTTTTTCTTGCCTATTTAATACTAGTGTGCCTACCACCTGGTGTGTTGCTTTTAATAAGCAGCTTCAAAGGCTAACAAAAATGTGATTATTAAATGAGATTCTTTGATGTTGCCTTCTCTCCCCCCCCCCCCGCCAAAATATGTTTTTGGAATATTTGTTCATATTCCTGTGGCATTTTCAGTTTTATACAAGGCAACTGTGAGGTTTTGTTAGGCTATTAATGCTTTGATTTCTAGATCACTTTCTCAGCCTGATTTTGATTTCTTCAGTATATGCATGTCAACTTTTGCTGCAAACTCAGTGGCAGTAGCAGAAGTTGACTGATGGTATATAACATTGAATACAATCAATTCTATCTTCCAACTTAGTCTTTAGATGCTTAAATACCTTATGGGGAAGTGTGCCTTTGAGTCAATTTTTGACTCCTGGACAAGTCCCTGCAGTTTCTTGGCAAGCCGTGTCAGAAATGGTTTGGTATTGCTTGTTTCCTGGAGCCGAAGAGAGAGGCAACGGTCCAGCTGGCTTTGTGCCTAAGACAGAACTAGAACTCAATTCATGGTCTTGGTTTTTAACCTGATTTACTCAACCATTACACTACACTTGCTTTAAATACATATTGTTGTTGCATAATTATTATTTCTTAATTGCTTGGGAAATGCAGCTGTTCTTTATCTTTCTCATGCAATCTGTTGTCACGCTTGATAATAGTATCTCATGTTTTTTTCATCTTGGATTCTTGTTTGGAACAAACTAAAAATGAAGATGCCCTCAAGCTGAGTTTGTCTATTGATGACTGTCTGGACAAAGTAATGGGGTTTTCTTGGCAAGAATAAAAGGAGGTTTGTGACTGCTTTCTCTTATGATGC